TGGCCTGCCCGCACCCCCTGCCGGCTCATGTCCAGCTTTCCATCCACCAGCATCCCCAAGTCCCTCTTGGCAGGGCTGCTCTCAATCCTTTCTTCCCCCAGCCTGTATTGATACTGGGGGTTACCCCAACCCAGGTGCATGACCTTGCACTTGGCCTTGTTGAACCTCATGAGGTTCATATGCTGGCCTCTCACATGTATGCAATACGAGAAAAGAAAGATGTTGCTTGCATAATAGCAAATCAATAAAGTAATTACAACCATTACTGCCACAAAAAACGTGGCCCGGCCCGGCCCAGCCCTCCCCCCTAGTCCCAATCGGCAACTGTGAATATCCAGGTTTATATATAGAGAAAAATATAGTATACACCATTCTGCATAGCTTCTCACCCTCCAGTTGCTCTCAGATCAGGAACACTACTAAACCTAATATAGTTTTCTTTTTCATTAGCTACATTAGACGTATTTTTCAGTTATTCATCCTGTTGCCCTGTAAAACCAGTTTCTGAGGTAAGGACTTTTATAGGTTTACACTTAACACACTTATTTTGTTCATCTTTAGCCTGCCTCCCATTAGCTTCATTTGATGTCCAAAGGGTTAGAAAAGACAGTAAGCGGTCAGTGCATCTTCACCAGTTCCATGCTACTCATGATTGTCCCTCTCACATTCATCCTAAGACATTTTTTCTGGAGAGTCCTAGCCTACTTGGTTGCTTCTGTCCCACAGCACCAATCAAGTGATTGTAGCCTTTCTCTGAACCTTTTCAAGGTCTAACACATGGTTTTTGAGAGAAGGGACTGGAACTACCCACAATATTGAAGGTCTGCACAAACCTAAGTCCATAAGGATTTTCTTTTGCTCTTTTTCCTTTCCCAAACATTTCTGACTGCCACTGAGTCAATGGTTTGTTTCATTGAACTGTCATGACAACATGACTCCAAACCCCTTGATTGCAAGTTTCATTTCCATGACCATCACTACATATGACACTAACATCTTAGGATATCTTAGCATCACAGATCACTCTTATCTTTGCCTAGTGGCACCCCAATCCAAGACAGATTTCTGCTGTGGTACCACCACCATAAACAGAATGATTAAAACCCCACAACTATTAGGTGTACATTTTCTTATATCCATATACTACAGCTGCAGATCTATTAATATTACTTATTTTTCCCCTAAAGAAGAGGTTTACCTTCATTTTCCCACTGTACTTTGGATCTGAAATTGTTTCAAAGGCTGCATCTTTGCTTAACTGCACAAAATCTGGAAAGATGGAAAATACCTGGCTGCATACCCGTTTGATATGTGCTTCCTGGAAGAAAAGCAGAAAGTTTGAATAGGTGTTAAAAATCAGAACTATATTGTGACACGAGTAAGACACACAAGCAGTTAAACAGGTTGAAACAAGAAATCTGCCAAAGTAACTCAAGCAGAAAGTTATGTGTTTTTATTCATTTCACTACAGAAGTGCTGGATGAAACATCTCCTGTGTGTTTTGGTTTGCTTCACTTAAAGAAAGAGGATCCTAACCTGAAACCATGGATTCCAGTTGCTAGAGTAAGAGATGCCCAAAATTTCTGCTCCTGGGCAGAGACTGCAATAGGACTGGCCAGAATTGCCAGTCTCAAGAACTCTGTTGGCTTGAGGTTTGCATTACCCAACAGTTGAGTTATTTCTCTTGACCCTCTGGCACGATAAGCCAATATGGGAATTACATATTGATCCACTGATAGGACAAAAAAACAACATGGGAAATGCATTTAAACTGTTCAAAAGCCACATTAAAGCTCCACTGCTAGAATTTGGGTAGCTCTGAATTTGAACGTGACCACACACTTTAAGTCTACTTTTCCAGAGGAGCAGGAAGGATCTCATCTCTCACCTAAGAATAACACATGTGATGGACTTTTATACTAAAGGTAAGGACTACTACAAAATATCAGTTTCTTCAGTAGATGTTGCAGCAGTTAGTATTTATGTATGCCATAAAATACAGTAAGTGTCAAAATGCTCATACATTATTTTAGTGGCTATTTAAACTCTCAAATGTTATTACAACAAAAACTACATACACAATATTAAAAAAAGGCAACATGGAAAACATTTGTGTATTTACTGAGAATTAGGCCCTGGACACCAACAGTAACATTTCCTAAAATGCTTTAATGGAACAAACTTGCCAAAATTAGCTAGGATTTTCTCATTTCCATTGCCTTGTGGCTTCTGAGAGGAAGCGGTAACATCCCTTTGCTCATTTTTGGATCTTAAGAATCACATACAAGCATTTTTAAAAACTCTGCCATTTCTGAGTCATGTAGGTTACTTGCCACAGTAACTAGATAAACTGATACTGTTCTCTCATTGATCATTTTTCTACATTTCTGATGTTTCTCATTATTTGAAGAAGCTCAGCTCTGAATATAAAATTCTGGAAAAAAACAACACACTCTAATTGCATATTATTTAATTACTTGCACAAAGATATTCCTCTTACTAGGCATTTGTCATAAATGGAACAGAATCAGAAATGGCATTATCAAAAATCACTAAAAATTACTCTTCCCCCTAGAACTCTCCAATGTTTTTATAACCCTTATTTTCAGATATGCATTAATACTGTTGTGTAACATCTCTTACCTATTAAATAAGTGCTACATTCTGAATTAGTGAATGGAAAAGGAATTTTGCAAAATATCTTAATTACAGTTCATTAAGACTTAAAAAGGAAGCCAGCAGCAAGTTTAGTTCAAGATTTTTCATCCCATTTTCCACAAGTATTTTTTAGCTACTTCTGAAACTAACCTGCTGCTTACTAGTGTTGTCTGTCTGCAGCAGTGCAGCATGATTTGCAACCTTCTGTAGGATTGTCAGGTAACTAAAGCGCAGTGACTTAATTGTTTCACCATGAGCATTTACCTATAAAAAAGAAAAAAAGATGTTTATACAAACAAATACTCCTGAAAATGAGAAATAATCTAAAGTAAGTGCTATTCTTACAAAGTTCAAAGCATTAGTGATTCTTAGTACTACTATAATTGACCCCAGAGATGCATACTGCATTTCAAACAAAAATGCAGCAAGGTTTTCTCCCTCAGCTTTGTGATCATATTGATACAAAACATCTTCTCAAAAAGGAAAAAAAAACCAACACACACACACAGCTATGTTCATAGTTTGCTAAAAATTTTGGATAGCGTGATATCTACATAAATTACTAAGATAACTAAGAATTCCTTAGTAGACAAAAAGGCAGTAACTTTACAACTGATTTAATTGTAAATCAAACCAGAGCTGTTTGAATGACTTCTTAACCTACAACTGCTAACTTTACTTTTCTCTACAGCAGAAGTGTATAAAGTTTTATATAAACATCTTAAGTAACATAATTCAAACAACTTCAAACATTCCACAATGCAGCAGCAGCATCAGCTATTTTTCTGGTTATGGTTGGCTGATTTGACCAATATTTATTTTCCTTTTCCTTCTCAAGTTACTAAATTTCATGGTTAACCTTGGAATAAGACAGTCCATAAGAGCACTTAAGTATCTGCAGGCCTGCCTAATGCCCTTTGTGAATTAAGTTCAACAGCATTTTACTTTTTTTCTACAAAACATCACAAGAAACAGAAGCCTGCAAAGAACTAATGCTAGTAACCATGGAATATTAAACAGGCTGATAGAGGGATTGTTTTTAAAGAAAAATTCAGAAGACTGAATAAACTACATCATCTGGGGGAAGAAAAAACCAAAACAAAACACAGCACTATACAAGAATCCAAACAGGCCAGAAAGAAAATATGGAGAAGCAAGTATGAGACATATACGTCTAAATGTTAAAAAGGCATGCTTAATCTGAGCCTACTGAGTGATAGGGACAAAACAAAAACAAGGCTAGACTAATTGAGTGTTAATGAATTCCAGAGACAATAGAAGAAATCTACAGAGCTGTTACTTGTGAACAAAGTTCTCCTTATGCTCTATGGCTACTGTCAGGAGTTCCCTCTTGAATGCAGCAAAGCCCAGTGCATGTTAGTGGCACAGAAAGATACAATCCAACTGTAAATGTAACACAAGCAAAGCCCAGACAACCTACTGGGTCTAGGATGCCTCTGATTTGCAGCTTCTGTGCTGACCGCCTGAGGCGTATGGGAGCAGCACACCTGACATGTACTGAATATCCCAGTGCAATATCTTTGCCAACATCAACTGTTTCACAGGTGCACTTATTAATACAACAAATTCAGAATTTACTGCATGTTTAACAACCATCTGCCCAGGGCATGCAAAGCAGCTTTGCTGTAATCCCAAAGTGCCTAACTCCACCATGCTCGTGATGCAACCGCCCATGTTTCCAGTCATAATTTCCCAAGCAGTTGGCCTACAACCACAAGCAACCAGCTTTTCATCAGCAGAGACTCAAGAGAGACCATGTATCTACCACGCAAACAGAAGACTATATTATAAGATTCAAACAGTGCAAGTTCTTACTTTGTAACAACAGTTCTTCCTTTTACGACCACTGTTGCAGCTACAGGGCTCTCCTGCTCGTAATACTAAGCTTACATCTTCTGTCTCCAGCACAGCCTGGTACACCGCTTTCTGGAATTCGGTCAGGGAACAGTATACCATCTGCCAAAGACAGAGAACCCCCAAAACACAATTATGTGCAGCATACAAGGAAATGCAAAGAGCACCACATCAAAAAACATAAAACATTGAAAATAAAGTAGAAAACAAATATATTTTTGCTCAAATAGTTACATGAAATTATTCTGCCACCAAATGAAAAAATCTGGATCTTAACACCAAAATAGTAGGAAAACTGTAGCCAAAATGTATGTATAGTTATTTTATCCCCTTCGACAATTCTACACAGAGTATCAATATCAAGCTATAAAAACCTGCTGTGAGGTTTCTATAAACCCTTCAGTACAGCTTTTGTGGAAGAATAGGAGGAGGAGGGAAAAGTGCAAGAAATAAATGTATAATTGTAATTAAGGATTCTCCTCTGCTTTGCCAGTTACTTAATTTACCCTTTCTTTCCTCTTTTTAGGCACTAGCTGTTGTAGGGCACTACCACAGGCAGTATAAACAGAATAAGCAATGAGAAGGCAAGGATCTACACAGTGCTATGGCCAAAACCCTTATCCCTCTTCTTAGAGACCATGGGTGGCATCTCCATGACATCTTTAGTCTTAAGCAGCAGGAGACAGAAATCCCAAGATCATTCCCTAACCTAGGCCACCCACACAGCAGCAGCACCATGCTGAGCTATAATAATACAGCAGTAACTTGAACATATACTCACATTAACAAGAGAATGAAAAGAATAAAACCCGCTAGATTTAGAAAAGCAACTGACTGACATTTGTGTTAATCTTTCCTTCAGAAAACAGTTTAGACGACATTATTATACGCTAAGGATGAAGAATACCAAAATTTGAAAACAAAATCAGCTGCAAACTAATGTGTTTGTCTACTTAGAAGGAAAGCACAAATATATCTAATAAGATTTTATCAGAACTCTTAGTGTCATCACTCTATATAATGTTCACAATGCCATTAGATGAACAGGATTACAGACCTCCAGCAACCAGCTTTAGGTTTGGTGGGTTTCTTTCATTTAGTGATCGAAAATGAGGGAGTTAAAAACTAAACGCATGCTGTTCTATGTACAAAGTGTCAAGCTCCAAATTCAGCAGTCCTACAAAGAATCTCAAGAGATTTACATACATTGCATTGGGGTTGCACGGATAAATACAAAAGTGCACATAAAATAGATGTGTAAATCACTAGTCAGAAGTCTAGCTGAGCATTTTCATGCTTGATTAACTCTATTTCAACATGCAATCATAGTAATTACGTGAACAAAGCATGCATGTGCATTTTTTCCAAAGCTCTGGATTCTTCTTAAACTCCTAAGTCCAAAAGAAAATCATAAACTATTAAAGGCATGATGAAATAGAAAAAACACCACAAGAAAACAAAAAAGACGAGATATATTCATTAGCATTGTATTTGAAATGTGCAGGCGCTCTTACTCTGTCTTCCTTTTTTGGCAACTGATCACTGATAAGAGCTTTGGTACGTCTCAGAAACCAGCCAGACATTTTTCTTGCTAGCTTCACCATGGCCTTACGACCTGTTGCTAGCTCTCTTTTAGTTGCAGTGTGCCTCTGGCCATGCTCCACTGGATCAGAAAATTTCTTCTTGAAATGTAGTCTGCTACCCAAAAGTCCTGGTACAGCCCTATTAAAAAACAAAGGGGGGGGTGGGGTGTGTGTGAAGGAGTAACAGTATTTTCTTTACTCCAAGGGAGACTATCCCTTTCCATTGATTAAAAACATACCATAAACTGTTTCTGGCTAACAGCAAGAGATCTTAAATTAACAATCACTAGAGCTTTCAACTTCTAAGGAAGTCAGAATGACCTGCACAGAGCAAAGGCCCAGCATTGTTTGAAACTCTGTAATGATTCTCAATCTACTGTGTGGAGGAGATACAAAGAAGATGAAAACAGTACCCTTAAAATGAAAGGTAAATATAGGGGAAAAAAGAAAATAATTTTAACTGCTTCCCAAATTCCCCAAAGAAGCCAGATGGTAAGAGGAGCTCCAAATTTATTAAATAACTGCAAAATAGATACTGCAGATGTATCTACTAGGAGCTTACCTCCAATACATCTACAGAAAAACATACAGTCTCACAAAACATTGGGGGTTTTTGGAGGAGGGTCGTGGTTTGTAGTTTTTGACACAGATTCATCCAAATCATCCAGCCCTATCCCAGTCCCACTGCATGGTTAATATAGATATGTTTAAGTCATTAAAAAAACCCTATTTTATTTACCAGTCCATAACACACCAAAGCTCCTTCATATTGTTTTGAAGAATGGTTCCAGTAAGACCTATGCGAACACTGCATTTTAATGACTTCATCGTTTGAGTTATTTGAGCCTTTGGATTCTTGATTCTATGTGCTTCATCCACTATCACAGCAGACCATTCTACACTGCAGAGCAACAAGAAATATTGTATTAACTGAAATTACTCACTCCATCATTCCACATACACATAGAAAGTGCAGTCAGCTACGCATGTAGCCATGATTATTATAAGACACTATTACTTTTTGGTTTTCCTGTTTTACATTGGATTATACTACTCAGTTTCCTTATATTCTGTTTGTTTAGTAAATTCAGTTGCCATAGTTGAGTATAATGGCTCAATTATATAGCCAAATAAATGAACTACTGTTAACTGCATCCAATGCTGTCTGTGAAGAAAGTAGCTTTCAGTCTCTGGAGCAATCAAACCAGCACATCCCACCAGCACCAATTCCACTCATAAGTAAGATTTAGAAAAATTAAATAAATTTCTGAATTTTCTCTTGAAACATGCTTAACACAGGTGTGCTTCACTTTTCCAACAAAACCTATCCAACGTAACTAGAAGTAGACTGAAAGCATCACTCAACTTCTTTAATACCAGTATGATACCAATATGGCAGAGGACTTCTAATATTCTGTGATTTTGTGACTAGGAGGAACATATCTAGAAGCAGCGACCAAAAGATATTTTGCAGCCAGGTCAAGCATAATACTTGGAGGTGTACTGTGATACTAATTTAAGCCATCAAGTTGCTAGGAAGAGATTTGTTAACATTATGAGATTGCTTTACATATATGAATGAGTATTTCAGAACAAAATCATATCCACTTTGATGATACTTCAAGCAGCAAAAAGCTAAAACACACATATTTAGAAGGAAACCTCTCTCCTGAGCAGGCTGCATTAAATTCACTAATCTGAAGGCTGATCTTGTGGCATTTTTGATGTCTGCTGAATACAGAGTTCCTTCATTCCTAAAATCTGCCAAAAATTGGAATTTCTGATGGGAGCCCATCAGATCACCATATGCTTGGTCCTTCAACTTAATTTCACTTAATTTCTCATTACACTGATTTACATGCGTAACTGAGTCTACACATTCTTATTAGTGATAATTGATTATTTAAGACCAGTTTTTGAGGCAAATCCATCATTCTAGCTAAGCAAGACTCTTCCAGTGTCAAGATCACAGGCCCACTCAATCACATGCTCTGCAGAAACAGTTTGGAAAATCTGTATGCTGAAGTAATATATTTACAAGCAGTCAGTTGTACATCAGACCTGCTCTGCACATGCACCTACTTCCTGACCACTGTCTATCCAATGACTAAGCCGGAAGAGTTCCTCAGAAAGACAACAGCAAGAATTAATGTATGGTAACACAACTCTTTCAGTCTCCTATCTGTGCTTCTTTTTCAGATCTGAGCGCAGACAGAGCTGGAGATCTGACTGTTTTGGTGATGGCTGTCCAGAACACTAGGACACTCGCTGGGGCTGGACCTTTCCCAACACCTAAAACAAGATCTGCAGAGCCACCAACTGCTAAGGGCAGGCTGCTACTACTAGCTGCACAACTTGTACCCTGCTTCCAAGATGATGTAAGGAAAGAGGGGTTGTTTAGCCTGGAGAAGAGGAGGCTGAGGGGAGACCTTATCACCCTCTACAACTACCTGAAAGGACGCTGTAGCGAGGTGGGGGTTGGCTTCTTCTCCCTGGTAACAGATGATAGGATGAGGGGCAGCGGTCTGAAGTTGCGTCAGGGCAGGTTTAGGCTAGACATTAGGAAAAATTTCTTCCCTGAAAGGGTTGTCAGGCTCTGGAATGGGCTGCCCAAGGGAGGTGGTCGAGTCCCCATCCCTGGAGGTATTTAAAAGAAGGATAGATGAGGTGCTCAGGGACATGGTTTAGTGGTGGGATGTCAGGGATAGGTTAAAGGTTGGACTTGACAATCTTAAAGGTCTTTTCCAACCAAAGTGATTCTATGATTCTAAGAGGACCACTAGGATCAGATGAGAGGCTAAGTACTCCTGACCGTAGCCAAAGGAAAGGCAGCATTCCTAGTGTGAAAATGCTGACTGCTATGGAGGAAATAAAGTAGGATTTCTAATACAGCCTGCTGTCAGAAAGACCTTGATTTTGCTAAGTCCATCAAGTATTTAAAACTACACAGAGACACATATACACATCTTGTATCTCAAAGTTTTTAGGACTCAGGAATATCACCAAGCTGGTGAAAAGTGCAAATAACAAGGAAAATACCTTCTGAACATTTGCTAAAAATTCTAAATTTTTCCTCCTTACACTGTATTGAAAGATAAAAAAAATCTCCTGCTTATCTTTTAGCTACCACCAGGTTTCAAGCAAGCAATTCCTCCATGTTTTAGGGAACACTTCATGAACAGGTTAACAGCAAAAAATTAGCTTTCTGAAAACTGTTCAAACTTCTCCCAAGCATCCCACTACAACGTTAGTATGGGATAAACTCTCCAAAGTTAAATGGGACTCTCCTCTTCAACACAAGTTATTGGATTTAACAGTAAATACATTACAAGGAAAGAATAAGTACTTGCAAAGAACAATGCAAACTTAGTTAAAATTCTGTGTGTAGAAAAATACATTAAAATCAGTACCTGTTAAATTCATCCAAATACAGGCGAAGTATCTCATACGTTGTAAGGGCAACTTCACATTTCCCTTGCTTGATGCGACTCAAGTCATCATCCTTTTTACTGCCGTGTAAGATACAGACCTTAAAGTACCCCCATGTGTCTAACTCATCCTTCCAGTTGTACAGCACTGAAAGAGGGGCCACTATGAGGAAAGTCTGAAAACAAATAGCTGTTATAATATTACTGGAAAAACTACAACATAGGACTTCCTAAAAGAGGAAACATCAAAATCATGATATTTATTTTACTGCTTTATAGTTTGAAATGTTTAATTCTGTCGCTTCAAAGCACAGTGTAAAAAGCATCTGAAGAACCAATATAAATTCAAAAGTAATCAGTTTACTCAGATTAGGTAAATAGTACAGAAAAAAATACTGTAGTACTACAAAGGATACAGAAGTAGTGCTACTTATTCAAATTATACTCTAACAGTTGTGATAAGACAGGAGATACTATCACTTTGCTTTGTTATAGCCTCTGTACCTGTGTACCATAAAATGTTTTACAGATGGAGAAAACAAAATGATGAAGAGGGTAAACAGCTTCCTTCAGTCCACAAGGAAAGTCAATATATAATCAAACCAGAAGGACCTGAAAAGGGTTTAAAAATCCAAGACAGCTCATACAACTCATTTAATATCATAGAATAATAAAGTCAGTGAGGTGGGAAGGGATCTCAGGAAGTTTCTAGTCCAGCTTTCTGGTCAAAGCAGGGACTACACCAAATTCAGACATTTAGGGTTTTCCCTAGACCAGTATTCAAAACCCCCAAGGACAGGGCTCTCCACAACCTCTCTCTGTGACCTGTTCCAATATTTAATTGTCCTGAAAGTGCAACTCATCTTCTCTAATTCCCAGTCAGAAGCATTCTTGTTTGGTTTGGTTTTTTTTTTTTTTTTTTTTTTTCCATATGAAGTGCTATCCCTTCACCTCTTCTTCTCTGCCTTATCTTTCCTGAGGAACCTGTATACATTATTCATGGACCTAGTGCCATATGAACCATCCTGTCAGTTAAATATTCCAATTATTCCAATAAAATAAAAATAGCAATGGAAAATAGAGATTGCATGGGTCCTGTGGCAAGTAAAGTTAAAATGATCTTTAGATATCTCTCATTCACACAAAACTTTTACATGTATCTTTATCTGCTGTATTTGATTACCTAGATTATCAGTCAACCTTACTTCTAATATTATGACAGTCATTCAAGAAAATATGCAAGGTCACAAGAATATTAGCAATAAATTCTCCAAATATATGCACTTGCCATAATTATTTAAATATCATGTTAATATATACACACATGCTTTTTGTACTTTAGAAACACAATCACACAAACTGTAGTTTTTTACCCACTGATGTGGGCTTTTCAAGGTATTCTAGCCACAAATCTCATCCATGTATTTCCAAATGTTTTGTGTTAGTGCAGATGAACAGTATTAACAGATTAGACAGGAACAGCTAGATTAGATGATACACTGACAGTCTAGAAAACTGAAGGCTTCCTTAACACTACTAGGAAGTCATGAAGCCCCAATCTACCTAAGTAGCTGAATTTTAAAAATTAATATACACGAACTCCTAAAGTAATCAAACAAACAAAAAATCCAAGTATTGCCTTTTACCAATCTTTAAACTCGTATCCCTAAAAGCTGTACCTTCTTGGGGTTACACTTCGCTTCTTTTTTCATTGTCCTCAGTAAAAATTCTGGCATATTGTTTTCAATATCTTCACGTGTTCCCTTTTTGTGTAACACTGCAGCCAAAAACGAAATGACCTTGAGAAAGAAAATTACTTTCAGTGTTTATGTACAAAAATGCAAACAGAAAGTTAATTAGTTCCACTGAAAATAAACACTTAGGACAAAATCCTGGGTGGGATTTAGAAAGGGAGTTTGGGTATACTGGGTTTTTTGTTTGGTTTGGGGTGGTTTTTTGTTTGTTTTAAATCAATGTCTTTTTAAAATAGAACCCCTTCCCTTGGAGAATCCTGCATTCATGATAAGAACAATTCATTTCTCTACTCTTTCACACTCCAAGTGGAGAAGTCCCAAAAATACAGAAGAGGTTACAAACGAGCCAGCAAAATCCAAAGATGCCTTGCCATTTTTCTCATTTTCAGGAGGGCACTTGAACCTTAGATGAGGAAAACAGAAGGAAGAGATACTTGCTAACTATACTCCCAACATTACTTCTGCAAAAGGAAGAAGAGGTTTAAACGAGAGGCCAGATTTTTACTGTTATGCGTGTGTGTTCCTTTCCTTCCAATTCCTATTGTTAATTTCAAAACTAGTTCTTTCTGTTGTGTTTGGGTCTAGATTATCATAGAATCACAGAATGGTTTGGGTTGGAAGGGCCCTTTAAAGACCACCTAGTCCACACACGCCCTGCAATGAGCAAGGACATCTTCCGCTGGATCAGGTTGCTCAGAGCCCCATCCAACCTCTCCCTGAATGTTTCCAGGGATGGGGCATCTATCGCCTCTCTGGGCAACCTGTTCAAGTGTTTCACCACCACGGTCAACATATTTCTTCCTATCTGGTCTAAATCTACCCTCTTTTAGTTTAAAAACACTCTCTCATCTGCCTCAAATGAGTCAAGGTGATTTCCCTTTGAACTGAGAAGACACTTATTACACCACAGCAGGGACAAACATCCCAGCATAGGCTATTCCAGGGTGTTCCCATGGTAATCCAAAAGAGGAAGAAAGGACAGAGATATCTGGCCAGATCATTCAAACCTGTAAAACCCATTTGGTATCCACGAGGCTATGAAGCAGCAGGAACCAGGTGCATCATCAGAGAAGTGCCCTTCTTTTCAAAATTCAACAGGCCCCCTTTACTGTGAGCAACCAGCTTCCTTTTGCAGCTGTGTAGCAGCTACTCATAGCAGGACAGAGGTAAAACTGCCATCTGCTGATTTCAGAAGAAAAGAGGAAATTTCCTGCACTTTCTCCCTCTAACAACGTGGGGAAAAGAACCAGCCAGGAGTACACGAATGCAGGAAAAATACCCAAGAAGAGTAAAGGTATATGAGCAGAAGACAGAGGAAACCCATTACATATGGGGCCACAGGGTGGGAAAGAGGTATGTACAAGAAAACCAAACATTTTTTTACGTAATATTTCATATAAACTGAGTCTAAGAGGAACTGCAAGTTTGCATGTGTTGTTTGACTTCCATTTTTTTTTTAATCCTTTCAAGAATAAGAATGAAATTCAACTGAACATAAAATCTCCATGTGTCTTCCAGATCCTCAATTTTTGGAAAAATTACACATCACAAATTTGTAACAATAGCAAAAAGCTGTAAAAGGGCAACTGCTGAGAAACCTTTGGCTCTTCCAGATAAACCAGGAAACAACCTAAAGGCCCAAATAGGAAACTTTAACTTACTGCAATCAAGTTAAGAAACAACACTGTTCTACTTGCCTCCACCTCAATTCCAGCTTGAAATGATAGCAACATAGAGTCAGGCCATTTAAGCAAAAATCAGTTCAGAAGTACAAAAAATATTAAAATGCAAAAGTCTTCTAGAAAAGTCTCTATCTCATAAATCAACCTATACTTCATAAATAATAAGGTTCAGCCAACTGACAAACATAAGACAAATTTTCTGTAAGACTAAATCAGTTACTTGCTACTTGAAGTTTAACTAATATTTATTCTTTCATACATATTAATCTTTTCTAAACAAGTGAAATCCTCTTTTACTTCATATCCCCTCAACTGCCTTTCCCATACTGAACCTGAAAACCACAAATACCGTGTTTTATAAAAAATGCAAAAGATACTCTTCCAAACTTCTACCTTTCTGCGAACTTGACACTGCAATTAAAAGAAAGAACCACTAGATGTGAATCCCACACAAGAATACACTGTCACTGTGTGATAAACATGACCAGGTCATTACAGAATCGGTTCTGAGACTCAAAAAATAAAAGGGATGGAAGCGAGACAACTCAATTTCCCTCCCCCCCCGCCCCCGATTTACTGCTACCTTGTATAGATGATGCTTACTATAGGAAATCAGATATTTGCAGTTCTGAGAAGAAACAAAATTCCATAACCACAGAGTTTTTAAACTGCCATGGACAAGAAACATGGCCAAACTTAAGTAAAACATAAGGTAAATGGATGCAGTTTAGTTTTATAAACATCTGTTAGCAGATCAGCAGCAGCTACACAAATCCATGATGCACCACAAAATGCTATGTCCAGAGAAGTTTTGCTAGTTTGCTACAGAACAATACTTTTTTGCACTGATGGGTGTCTGCTGATATTCTCTTAAATAAAAGGCCAACAGACACTACAGCCAGAATTTGTCAGTGAAGGAATGAGCTTGCATTTGACACATGGAGGGAGAAAAGAGAGTGGGGGCAAAGACCATAGTTGCCAAGCTGCTAACTTAAAACCAGACAGATTCACATCTCACAGAAAACACACTGCCAAAAAGAGTTATCTACTCTCTCAAGGTAACAATCGAAAAGAATACCTGTATTGTCTTTCCAAGGCCCATATCATCTCCAAGAATACACCCCCTTTTATTAGCATAGTGTCCATACAGAAATTGGGTTCCTTCCCTTTGATAATCACGCAGGTACCTGTTAATTGTATATGGGATAAAATCGCCATTGTCAGATAATTTAAAAGCAACTGCAGGCGATGGAAGACTTTGGTCAGGAAAATAAGGCTTTTCCAGATCACCATCATCAAATATTAAGTTTTTCCACGATCCTCTACTGGCTTTGACTCTACAAAGTTTAGTTATTAGTATTTTCCTTTCTTTGGAGTCCAAGAATGATACAACAGCAAACGATTTTCCATTCTTGTCCTTTTCAATAGAGGCTATTGTTCCTTCATGAAGTTTCCCATTTTCAAGACAAGGGGCAAGGCATTTCTCTCCAATATGCCAATTATCTGTAAAAAACCAAACAAACAGACATAGTGATAAACTGGCCAAATATAAAAAGTATTTAATTCTGCCACACTAATAAAACATCAAATATAAATTTACCTCACAAAATGCATACAACTTAGGGTAAAAGATTTTACTGAAGGTAGCACTAGAATTAGGATACTGATTATATTTGAGAATCAAATTCTGAGCTAGATGATTGTAATTTGCTGAAGTGCTGCTACTTTATAAATATCTGAAAATCTACAGGAAAAAATCTCACGTAAAAGCCATATTCTGAAACAATAAGTTGTTCTACAGTGGTTTCACACAGGCAAACACTGATATGCTGATGCTTGCAGGTTTAGTGTCCAATTAACAGACCACATGAACTGGTCAAAAAGGCCTTCTACATTAGATACACTTCTGATCTACCTGAACCTAGTACTGTAGTGTCAGTAAATTGTTTTACAAATATAATGACATAGGAAAACATCACCTTTCTCCTAACAAAGCCTGGAACGGGCAAAAAAACCTTTATGTTTAGCAACGACAGAATTGTACTTTAAGAACACTTAATAGCACATCATTTACCTATATCATTCACCAAAGTGGCTAATTACTCAGTAAACTGTTTACATAGCTGTCCAGTCTGGAACTGTTAAAATCTGTTCCTCTGTGTGGTCTCACTACAGTCTTAATACAGCATTTCAAATATTAACAACAGAGATGACTGAACTGCTTCATTTTCAGCTATCTCAGTTTTATATTTCACGCACAAAGATAATTTTTTAAACAGTATGTATGCTGCTAACAGAGAAAGAGGAAGATAAGAACAGCAGTGTGTCAGAGTCCAAAGAACTCACATCATACTGACAAGGAAAAACCCAACAAAATATCTCTTGCAGAAAAATACAAGGCCTTCCCCTATTCATAGTAAAAAGAGAAAAACCTAGTAAATAACACACAGTTTTCCAAATCTGAACTGAGGAAGTGTTGGCTTTTTGTGTTTGTGGAAACAATTTCTAACTTCCCCTGCTAAGCTGTCCCAAAACAGAGAGAGGAACATACATGATTTGTTTCAGAACTTTCATTGTGTCTTATAAAAGTCCTGCTCCTTCTGAGAAAGTCAGCAGCAGCACTGAAACGCAGCAAAAGTTTTTATGGAAGGAACAAGAGAGAGAGAAGCTTGCAAGTATTCCTACTTCCTAACTATGACCAGTGGCAGTGCACCTTTCTGGGTGCATCAACCCAGTTACTCTTCAGAGGTATGGGAAAGAAAAGAGGAATTCCTGAAGGCAAGAAACTTCACCTTCTTCCATTTTTACGCATCAGTGGAAAAAAACTCAAGGAGAAGATAGGTTCTTCTCACTAGTTCCTGAGGTCCTGGAATTGTACACTCACAGGATTATTCTCTACAACATATTAGTTAGATCAGTGATAATTATACTTAATTTTTAAAAATTATTTAAATTACATACTCTAAAAGAAAACAAAAATGTCCATGTAGCTCCCTATTGTGCAAGAAGCAGTGGCCATAAGTTGACACCCAGGTAACAAAAAAAATAGCACAAACATACAGAATACCTCTCTTTTAAAATTCTTCGTCCTTAAATTATTCTTTTAGCTACAGAGATTTCCTGGGTGAGGTGTAGTTTGTCTTTTCAGCAAACCCCAGTGGACCTCTCTCTTTCAAGTAGCTCCATTCCGCCTTCCACACATGCAAACTTCTTGCATTTGATATCTTCTGACTATGAATTTTGCAGGTCTGCTCTCTACTAGCTGACAAGCTTTTGCCTGCTATGAACTTGGATCCCACGACCTAAACTGATGGTCCATTAGTTCTTATGCTAAGATCATAAACCACGACCTCTCCATTGGACTCATAATTTTGCAGACCTCTTTCATAAAGCCCCCCACCATCATTGATAAGTTCTACCCCACACCCTGTGACCTGCATGTAAGCCACTCCATACTCTTTTCAATGCAAAGGATTGAAGTACAGACAGTATATTCAACTAATTACACGTAATAGTATATACCTAACTAGCATTATTCTAATCTCTTAAACTTTAAGGCACTTGTACAGTCTCTCACACATGCTCAAATGCATGAAAAAAACTGCACACATGAAATTCTCCCAGTAGCATCTAAGTCTTTGAGCAATTTCTCAAATTCAAGAAGGAAGACTGAAAAAATGAAACCAGCTATATACAGCACACTGTTAAATACGCAAAACAAAGTTTAAAATAAGAGTAAGCATTTCCAGAATTACTTTCTTTTACAGTAATATCTGAAGTGACATGTGACTTCAGACTCTCACATTAAAACTATGATTTAATACGACAGTGCCTTTGTTTTTAACTAAGCATTTGCTTGAGTTTAATGAGTTGCATGTGACTTGTCAGAGCTAGTGTTCCAGGTGCAAAGTGGAATAAATCACATTGGACAAGGGTTTGAGCATTACCAAACTGCAAACCTAGTGAGAAACAGAATGAAAAAAGGGAAAGAAAAGCAAAGCAAAGGTTACAAAACCCCAGAAAATAATGCTGTACAAGCCAAAGGAAGAATTGCTACTTTAACTAAACTGATCCACTAACTTTTGGGGTTTTAAACCAGAACCATAATTTATGTAGGGTACCATCTTCAAAAATGAAGAAAATTACCTGGCATGGCTTCCTAGCATGGGTACAGAACACTTGTTCTGTGTTGAACACAGAAGGAAGGATGGTATTTTGATGAAGGAAGATGGTATTTAAGATGCCTGGGTGTATTTACCCCTTTTATCACAGCTGAAAAATATGTGCCATTATATATATTGACTGTACTAAATTATGCTGCTCATGGCCTACTGTCACACACTAACTCATTTCAACAACTACTCCTCTACAAACAAAAAAAAGCAAAACAACCATGCATGCTAACTATTGAGGTCTAAACACTTACTGTAGAGAGCAAAGGTTTTTCTACACTCCACTAAATGACTATAAAAGCAAAATTCAAGGATACGATAAAAACACTGCCCTTCTTAAGCTGCAAAGCTTAACTACAAAGTTGTCAAATAAAAGAGGCTAAAAAAACCCTAAAATGTTGTCTTCCAAAAGAGATGTTTTGAGTTCATTTAACCACACGTTTCCACTTGTCCCAGGAAGCAAAATCAAATGTTTCTGATAAGCAGAACCGGTTTAGGAGTTTCATCACTGAATATTTCTAAAACACATACACCACATCTTACGTTCAAACACCTCAGCTCTGCTGCCAGGCGAGGCCTGGCTGCGCTGCAAACTCCCACCCTGCATTACCAAGCACCTCGTAACTTCCACGCCTGCTCTCATCGCCCTCCTGGGCAAGCGTGGGTAAGCCCTGAGTCTCAACATCGCTCTGGAAAGACACACAGAAGATGCTTACCTGGGATATCATCACACATTTTAACTTTTGGCCCTGCAAAGCCCAGCAGAGCAGGTGGGGGGAGGCCCCCGCGGTCAGGTGGGGCCAGAAG